GGAACTTCCAACTGCAGAGTGAAGCCCCGGGCATTCACCTGGGCCGTTCTGCTGCAGCAGCTGGCAGAGGATGGAGAAAAGGGGAATGGGGCACAGATAAAAGCTGCAGCTGTATATCCTTATGGCTACTTGTACTCAAACCAGAATCAGTGACCACCACGATAAATCACTTTATTATTATTGTTGTTGTTGTTTGGTTGTTGTTTTTTTTTTTTTCAATTTTATCATATTTTTTTTCAGCTGAAGTATGTTTGAATGCTAAGATGTTGGCGCTAAACGTCCTGGAAACATCCATGGCATAAACTAGTTGCTTCCCGAGACCTAGTCTTGCGTAAACAAGCTAAGGACAGTTTTGACATTAATTTCAGTGAGGCCATTTCACACTGGGAACTTGTTCAGGTAGTGTCATGTACTGAGAAAACTCTTCAATAATTACATATGGACCTTTTTAAGTTTGTGCATAAGTTCTTCTCTGAGCTCAGTCCTAGTGCTGTTAAAGTCTATAATTGCTCCATTATTCTCAGATTTAAAGCAAACTTATCAAGAGTAAAGCAGAGGTTATAAACAGCTGTAACTAAATAGATTTTGTTGCCATGATTTCCAACCAAAACTAAGCAGAGGAGTTTCAGAACTGGGAAAGTTACAGTCAATGTCAAGACACTGACATATGGAAAGATACACATTTTTATTTCTGTGTGGTTGCAGTTACATGTGGCAGATTCCATAAGAGTCCAAGAAAGCCCCATCCTTCAGTGCTCCCTCCGTCCTCTTTTCCAGTGTTCCACTTCAGAAGAAATCTGATTTTTCATGCCAGCAAAATGCTAAAAGTCCTAGTAAACAATGGTGTCATTTTAAGACTTTCAGAGTGCCAAATGCTGCATTGTATCAACAACATTCACAGGCAAGAAGAAAATAAGATTTTCATAAAACCCTGGTGCCACATTTAGTCACAAAGCAAGGAAATCCCTGTAAGAAACTGAAAATCCATTCTATATTTAGCATCAGCCTAATAGGATAACGCGGCTACGGTTTACTATTCTTCAGATTGATGAAGTTTTGCATTGTTTCACTGCAAAGGCCAAGCTTCTTAAAGAAGTCTGATCTTGCTGCTTTTGCAAATGAGCTATCTTAAGGTCAAGGGAAACAACTTCCACTTTCTTCTTTTGGTAGTTCATTATCTTACGCAGGTCTAATGCTGCTCTGAGGAAGCTGACACAAAATCATCTGCTTTCCTCGTTTTAAAGAAAGGGTGCCTGTACCATTGTGCAAGACAAAGATGGATTACAGCCATCTATTACAGCCTCAGTATTTCCCTAGCAGTATCTTTTTCTTCATATTACAAGTCAGGTTTACAGTTCTATATGAGTCACAACCATTCTATAGAGAAAGCATTTAACTTAAAATAGTACTCTCCGACTTGCCCTAGCATCTTATCTCCAAATCTCATTTGGGGAGAAAGCTGAGAGCTTCATCTGATAGTAAAACACAGTGATGCTTTAACCAGATTCAGAATACAAAATGAACACATCCTGGAAGTTTCAGTATAGCCTAGCTTCAGCCCTGGTTTTAAACTGATCTCCAGTCTTCCACCTGAAAATAATACAGGAGATGTTAAATGAAATGCATAACATTTTGGTGCCAAAGTTTCAAAAAGCATCCACCTCCAATTTCTTTTTTTTTCAAATATGATAGAATATTGCCATCTGTGCATGCAAAGCTGTGAAAGTATGAATCCGAAATCTGTCAGCTGCCCATCAGCATGCTCACGAGGAAAAAACACAAGTGAAAGAAGGCTGGGTTTTGGGGAGGAGGGTGCGGAGGGCGGGGAAGCACGCGCTTTTTGCCAGAAAGCAATGAGAAGCCACATGTAGCCCACGGCTCGGGGTGCTTCCGTAGGCTGTGCCACGGAGCCGGGAACTCGGCACGGATCACACCTGGCTGGAGCACAGCCCGGAGTTCCTGTGGAGTCGGTGTGTGACAGACCTGCATCTCTGGGGCCAGGAATCAGACACCTCTGCCATTTTGACAGGTCTCAGGGACATTTAGTTAAGTAGGAGGGAAATGCTCGTAATGGCACACCAGCTAGATACCCAACACTAAGATCTCAGTATTTGCTCATGAGTCAACTCTCAACTTTAAAAAACAGCATTTTTTAAAATAACTTGTCTCTTTAGAAATTAAATAAATAACAAGTATTTCCAAGGGGAAAATAATGTATTATAAAAATATTAATATCTCTGATAACGTTAACCTGATACAAACCTTTGCTTTTTTTTGTAATTTCTTCTTACTCAGTTAGTATTCAAAGGCTCTATTATAGAATTGTTCAAGCCAGTGCTTGTAATATAGCATATTAATATATTCATCTTCTCTTTCTAGTAGCAGTTTTCCATTCCAATTTCCTTTATCTGACTTCTGCGTGATTTATTCTGATGATAAAATGCCTTCCTCTTTCATATAGTTTAATTCATTCATGACTTTTAAAATTCATATCTTCACATTAAATATGCTGGCAAGTTTGCTCATTTCAGATTGGTCCCTTCCCCCTCTAGTTTTCAGTAACCCATCTGAAGAGAGGCCTCCTTAAATTTCCTTCTCTTTTAACAGTTTTAATTTAATCCAGACCTCTTGTAAGAGAACTTTTAGGAACAATAATTCTTTCACACATGAAACACGCTGACACACAGCGTGATATTAATTATCATTAGCCACATGCTTCTTGGCAATTCTGGCACCGGTTTACAGTACACTCCTATAACACTCGTAATAGCGTCTCAACATTTGCTGGATCAGCAATGTTTTCTCAGTGGCCTCTTATGAGGCCCCATAAGAACAATAACTGTGTTCAAAATTCAAAGGTCCCATAATCTGCTCGTCTCTGCAATACGTCACATATTTTGATCTCTGCACCAACCCTGCTGTTGCACTAGTTTATCTTTCAAAACGATGCTAATTTTTGACATTTTGACTCTACAACTTTAAAGGGCAAACAAGCAACAGCCTTTGGTAAATTGTTCTAATGGATGCGTTGCTTTAAACTCATTGCTTGTTTAACTCTACCTAGTTTTGACTTCTAACCCTCAAGTTATACAAGGATTAAGTAAGTTTTTGGAGTCTTACAGCAGGACCAGAAATTCCCAATACTGCACCTTGGTTAGAATTTGATCCACAAGATACCCACACTCACACAGCATCTTCCTGCTTGACCCAAAACTCCTTTCTTTGGGGACAGTTTTGCTTCTGCAGGACTGAAGGCCTTTGGGAGCTCGGATCGATCTTCTCTGTGTAAGCAGATTGCACTGTGAGGACCCCTTTTACCAAAGATCACTGTACCTACTTATTTTTAAAGAATGGCCAAAAGAGGAAGTGAATGTAAACGTGCTTCTCACTCTCTATATAGCATCTGGGACATAAGAACCGCATTACCCTGAAGAGCAAAGTCTTGGTTCAAAGCCTTTCTCAGTCTGAGAAAGTTAAACCTTGGTGGCCTACCTCCCATGAAAATGTATTTTCAACCCTTAGGCCCAGAAACAGGGACGAACAGGACGGGGCTAGTCTTTGAGGGTTGGTAGCTAAGCCAATGCTTCCTTAGTACAGTCAGATTTGGGCTTTACTCCCAAGACACATGAACAGATAATAGACTCACCATCAGCTTGTCCTCCAGATGTGTTTTAAAAGAAAGCATTTAAACATAGTCTTGGTTCTCTAGTGGAAAAATAAGTAGCTGCAATCAGGATATTCTGGACTCAAGGTCCTGTGTCAGTGGAAGTCCATCCAGGCTTAAGCTCCCTAACATCCAGAGACAGCAGAAGCTGTCAGACTCCATCTGGTCATCAGTGTTTTCTACAGTCTTGCCCAACACAACGCACCAACTTGTCTGCATCCCATCTGGGGCTCCTCACCATCCCCGTGTAACACTGAAGAAAGCCAAGATACCTTTCTCTGGGTGCATGTGGGCAGACATCAGACCTGAGTGACTGGAGCTGGCTGCTAGCCTTGTCCTGGCTAACCACTACATCTCTTCTTCATGTGAGTACAGCTCACAGGTCACAGTCCAGTCAACTTTTAACATTTGGCCAAACTCAGCACATTGAGCTTTTGTAGTATGCCACTATAATACATTTTCCAAAACTTGAACACCTCTCGATCATGTTTTCTGGAATCTTTCTTACATTCCAGCACTTTTTCCAAAGTACTGCGGTAACAGCCTCTCAGATCATGCGTACGGCTGTACTAGCTCACTCATCCCTCTTAAACACTCCACTCATCTATTTGGAGATTTCACTGGTTGCCCAAAATACGGTATTGGATTAGGAGTTTTAAGCAACCATTTATCACCTCCTTTTTAGGTTGACTTCACACCAGGATGCAATAAAACTAACAAGAACAAAGATTTTAAATTGTTTTAGAAGCCAGCTCATGCTAGTCTTTGAATTAGCTCCTTGTGTATTAGCTCCAGGAAACCAGTCTGAGAATTGGGATGACCAGTGGCAGGCAGGGGACCGGTACAGCTAAAGAAAGCGCATGAGCCACTTCAGAAGATATGTTCCAAGCTCCTCCCCGGGTCTTTCACCTTTTATTCTCCAATTCAGGTATTACATTTCCACTGGTTTCCACCAGGATTGTGCATGCACCTTGACATGTTCACAGAAGTTCCACAATACAGAGTTTCACAAGTGGGACAGGTCCCTGCAATCGGGACATCAGGGTGACAAAACAGATTCTGGAGAATTTCGCACTGAATAGGATGGAGAGAACATAATTACCACATCTTAGCACTACAATGCCTCATAAACATAGAATAGACTAGATCCATTTACCACAAAAATCACAGAAAGTAACCGATCAAAGAATATCTCTTTTATGTAAAATATACATTTGTAGCATATAACTTTAATACAACTTTTATTCTTATTGATGTTGGATTTACAACACTGAATTAAAGTAAAATAAAATAAAATAAAAAAAAACAAAATAGTCTTGCTGCCAGAATTTTATTTCTTACAATACTTAATAGTTTGAGGTAACAATGAAAGAAGACTGTGTGCTGTGAACAAAGTCAGTGATGTTTGTCTGCAGTCACATTTCTGTTATCAAAGTAAAAAGTAAACTTAAGACTTGCAATGTCCACTACAACTCATACAAATATAGGTCATGGCAAACTGAGAAAGCAAGGACTTATGCAAACCTACTCTGTTCATATTTGTGACCTTTGCAAAATATATCATTATTATGACAGAAGTCAAGACAGATGTAGTTACATCACTATCATTATTAAGTGTGTGTCTTTGTATGATCCACAGCACAACTTACTGCAGGAACCAGGAAGAATACACACAGGGGTGTGGGTCTTTGCATGGAGCCTTAGCAATGATGACTTGAATTCAGCTTTCCTTGATATAGATAAAAACTGATATTCCATGCATACGCGTTTTATTTACAGTTGACTCATCAACAGTGACTAGGCACCCCTTCTTCTGGCAGCAGTACTTATGAGCAGTCTTTAATCTTCTTTAACGAGCTCTACTTCCCATGTAAAGCCTCAGTGACCTCCTCAAGGCGTGAGTTGTTTATCAGGGCCCATTCAGCAGCAGCAGTCTCTTTCCAGTACAGTCCTTGGTATGGCTAAATTCCATTGTCCCTTTTTCAGCAGTCAAAAATCCATGATAAATTCTGTACAACACTGTAGTTAATATAACAGCAGCACCAGATATTATATTAATTCCTTTGCTAAAAGCTGTTTGCTATTATCTCTCTATTGACAATATTTTACCAAAACTAAATCAATGTACATCTCTAAATATAAGAAATGTATACTTTGATAAATACATTATTGTAAAAGAATTCTGACATGCAGGTCATGCTATTGAGCTAGGCTATATACAGAAGAACATGTTACATGGTCAACAGTAAGTTATATTTCTTTTCCTAACAAAAAAGAAAACCATGACAATCAGGGATTATTCAACAATCTCAAGGACCTCTTAAGATTTGGGTTGTTATAATCTTCCCCACGTAGCTCTAAAACTCTGTGGTTTAGGGTAATTTTTCCTCACTAGCCCAGAACATAAAATCCACCATTGCATTTGTCCTGTTGCATAAACAGAGGTTAATATTGAAAGAAAAAGCCACTAGAGGAATACAGTTTCAAAACCGTAATGAATGCTGGTTGCTAGGAGGAAGATTGATGCAATAGGCAACCGGTCAGTACTGCAAAGCCGCTACTAAATCCCACTCGAAAAATCTTCAGAGTGCTCACATGAGTTAGTCTAGACGATACTAACTTGCACTTGAAAAATATATATATTTGTATCTATACGCGTAAGTATAGTCCATATGAAAAAAAAAAAAAGAGAAAAGGAGAAAAATGTCCTTAGTTAACCTTAAAAGAGGGGGGCATTTTAACAGTATCTCTGTGCTTTATGGAGACAGATGGAGAATACAATAGACAAGTTGCAAAACAGACAGACAAACAACATATAGGACAAAGCACCTCAAAAAACATTGACTGAAGAAATTTTTGAAGCTCATGAGCCAGAGGTATAAGGCTGGTCAAAACCCGACTTGAGAACTACTGCCCTCTTACAGTGGTACAAAAAAGCCCCCAATAATCTTCTCAATTTTACTTGGTACTCAGCCTCTGAAAATGTTGAAGAACCCTGGAGTAGAGAAATGACTAGAGTACCAAGCAGCACTTGCTAGCTTAAAATTGCAAGTCTGGATGGTGTTTACCTTTCTTGCATGTTTTGTGCCTTCCCCAAGCCATTAAGAAAGAGATCTGGCTTCTGCTTGCGTGTAACCAGTAATGACAACCTCTTTGCAGTTATCTGTGTGTAAACAACCGGAGACATTCAGAACTCTGATACAGCAATCCAGTACCAAATTAATCACAAAATAAAGCCATTTATAAACAAGTAGATCATTAAAAAATAAAGGAAAAGGTTAAACAAAGAAAAAACAATCCC